AACTGTGGTCTGACCAGTGATTTTATGACAAATTAAAAAACACTGCTGTTATCAGCTGTCTGTGAACTTGTTAGTTACAATGCTTTTTACTACAAAGGCTGGAATGGGCTTTATGAATGAGTCAAAGCAAATGTCTAACATTACTTCAGTGCATCCAGTGATTAAAATTAAAAGACCTGAATGGGCCATAAGCATTTTTAATGCCTGCTGTGCCAGTATGGTTTTGCCTACAATGATTACGTTTAGGTTTTTAAGCGGTGTTTTTTTTTTTCATCATCTTTGCACATCTCAGCTTTCTGAATTTATCTAACTCATGTTGTCTTCTTTGGGTCTGCCAACAATTTTAGGTTTTAAGCTGTATTTTTCCCTCATTTTTGTACGTCTCAGCTGTCTGATTTAATTTAGGCAGAATCTCAAACAACTCCCTTCTCCCTGTATAGGCACTGCATAGGTCATGAAATTACAGCTTCTGTACCAAAATAGTGCAGCTGTCATGTCTCTCCCCTCTGGGGAAACTCATCATGGACTTTCCCTGGCACCTCCCACCTGCATCTGATCTTGGACTCATTAAGACCCCTTCTTAATCCCTTTTGCTTCCCCTGTTAGTAACCTGAGGTCCTAGCCGTTGTTTCTTTGTTTGTATTGTTTTCCTGTTGTTGCTTGCCTCTTGGTTTTATAGATCTGCCTCTTATTTTGCCTGCCTGTGTTTTGACCTCTGCCTGCTGTGACTATGAGCATTGAACTGCCCCTAATAAAGCCATTTCACTCTTGCGACTTGCCTCAGCCCCTATGATACAGCAGCAAGTGTTAGCTGGAGAGTCATACAGCTTATGGCTGAATACAAATGGCTTTCTATTCAACATATATTACATTATTTGGGTATAGAACCCATTATTTCAGGTCTTTTCACAGACTACAACAGTGTTTTCATGTAAAACAAATTTTGAACTCTACTCAGAAATGACAGAGCACAGCTTTCAGTCTTAATTTGAGTGATCTTCTTTTCTTAGTACATTAAATACAGAATTATTATTATTATTATTATTATTATTATTATTGTTGTTGTTGTTGTTGTTGTTGTTGTTGTGTTTAAAGAGTGAAAATCTACTGCAATACACTTTAAACCAAACTTCAGGGCAGGAATGCTGATGTTTCTGTTATTCTTGATTAGATACCAATTACTAATTTTTAATTTTCTACATAAAGAATGTTCCCTCACTCACATACATTAATCTTATACTTTGTTTCAGTAGTTTTGTATCATCACATCTGTAGAGAACTGATGCTGAGCGGAGATACAGATGCTTGATATTTAAATTTAAGTGATGAATTGAAAGCAGCATAAAATGTTATTAAAGGTTTAAGACATTTCTGAGAGACCACAGCAGCCACATTAGGGCACTAGCAGTGACCTCAGCTTGTCAGTACAGTGAAAATGCACTTCACCTCCTTCAGCTCAGAATTACTAAATTCACTGATTATTAATCCTCTGAAAATGTACTGCAGTGATCAAACCAATTTTTCTGTAAGAGCTGAACTGCAGTTATATGTGCGACAGTGATTAGTTAAACGATTGCAATAGAAAAGGTGTTGAATTGCGATAATATATATAGCTGGTATAAATAAATCTGGTATTGCTCCTAGAGATCAAGGTGTACCCCAAGGATCTGTCCTTGGGCAGCTCTTTATCATTTACATCCCCCCACTCGGTCAGATCATCTGCAACCATGGTTTTAACTTTCACTGCTATACTGATGACATTCATTTTCGAATAAATCGAATTTCTATTAGCACTACTTCCCTCTCTGCCTCCGCCCAGGCTTTCAGTTCTTGTGTCAGAGATTTGAAAATTTGGTTGCAAAACAATTACCTGAAACTAAACGCTGATAAAACCGAGGTTCTGTTAGTTGGGGCTAAAACCTCACTCTCCCAGGTATTAAACTTTTCAGTCAACATTGATGGTGTTGATATTAAGCCAGCCCAATTTGTTAAGAACCTTGGCTGTCTTCTTGATTCATCTCTTACTTTTGAGTCTCACATTAAGTTAGTCACCAAAACTGCATTTTATCATCTGTGTAACATTGCATGCTTACGCCCTATGCTGAGTGACACTGATGCTAAAATGTCGATCAATGCCTTCATCTTCTCTCGCATCGATTACTGTAACCCACTTTTCTATGGCCTTCTAGTTAAACTAATCAATCGTCTTCAGTACATCCAAAACTCAACAGCCAGGGTTCTTACCTCCACCAAGCGCACAGCTCATATCAATCCTATTCTTTGACGGTTGCATTGGCTTCCTATTAGTTCTAGGATTAAGTACAAAATCCTTCTTCTTACCTTCAAGGCTTTGCATGGTCTGGCTCCAACATACCTTTCTGATCTCATTTCATTATATTGTCCCTCTCGTGCTCTCTGATCTTCTAATTCTGGACTCCTCACAGTTCCCTCAACTAGACTTTCTACTATGGGTAGCGGATCTTTCAGTGCTGCTGCCCCCAAACTCTGGAATTCTCTACCTTCTACTCTTCGTAACTGCTCTTCTTTGTCTTCCTTCAAATCTCTGCTAAAAACCTTCCTTTTTTCTTCTCTTTAGTCTTCTAATGATACTATGTAAAGCATCCTTGGGTTTGTGAAAGGCGCTATATCAATTGAACTTATTATTGTATTTACCAAATTATAGGTTATTCTATATTTGTGTCTTTACATTATGATTTTATTACACGGAGCTCTCTGTATTACAAAATCATTTTAAAAAGCAGCACATTCCTCAATTCAAATAAGTAAAATAACATCTGTGAGTAAGTTTAGTTCATTACTGAGTGTTAAACTAGCATTTCTGTGTATCTGTGTTGTAACTCAGAGCGGTGTGTGTAAGATGGTTATCAGTGTGTGGATCAGCTCTCTGCAGGTGCAGCATTAATGCTGTATTACACTGGAGTGTTTCCTCTCTCTGAAGTCAGTCTCCTGTATGTTGGTGTGCTTCTCACCACACTGCTGCGAGCGTCTCTCCTCACACACACACCTCTAGAGACGGAGGTGGAGTTCTGACGCTCTTTTGATAAATATGGAGAAAGAAAAAAATGCCTCCTCTGATTTGTCACTAAAAATGTTTGATGATTTCCTCTTCTCTCTCTAATAAGGTCATAGTGAGTGTGATTGGCGGCTGTGGGGAGCTCTCTCTCTCTCTCTCTCTCTCTCTCTCAGTTTCTTCAGTCTCTCTGGGGGAGTGGAGGTGAAGCTTGTTCTGCTGCTGAGTTGAATGAACTGTGTGCAAGTCAGAGGGAGATGGACAGCTGTGTGGCTCTCATTCTTCTGTCCTCCACAATCTCACTCACCACAGCTGGTAAGTTCACTCTTGCTACAAAAAATCATAGGTATGTCATTTTATATCTCTCTCTCCTTCTCTCTCCTTCTCTCTCTCTCTCTCTCTATGTGTGTCTATCTGTCTTTTTTTCTCACTCTCTCTTTGTTGGTTTAGTTACTCTATATTTGTCAATTTAGGCCTTATTTTATTGTATTGATTGGTTTTCTGTGTTGTGCATCACTGACTCTGTACTTTAAACACTTATTCAAGTTTTATATGAGGGACTTTAAGTCAAGAACACTTTAGAATATTTGGGAAATCTTTCTGTGTCTTATCTGTCATAATGAGAAATTTTAAACTTGGATGGTACGGCTGTTAGAGGCTGAAGAGTCAGATCTATATAAATGCACTGGTTTTCATCATCATATACATCATAAAACTACAAAAAAAAATCAAAACTGGCTGTTTTTGCATGTTTATTTATTTACTCTAAATATTTTTGATATTGAAGCCTGCTTTTATCCCTCTAGATGGTACTTTTAATAAAGTAATCCTTTGGATTAGGGTACATTATACATTTTTAACAGGAAATTCTCAGCTCTGAATGTATCAAAACACCACATGGCGATGAGGTAGAGTTGTATGAAGCGATCAGTGGTGTTGAGCTCTGTTTGTGAAAATTCTTCACATAAATTTCTGCCTAAAAGACATGAATTTTCATACATTTTGATGGTATTTATATTGTAAATAGCCTTTCATGTCTGTTTTCCACATATTTTCTCTTTCCATACTCACAGTCTATAAGACCTTCGGAAAGACAAAGTTAAGACTGTGAAAATTTTACAAATCAGCCTGATTCATTTGAACTTGGTCTCATTAATCTGACTGATCAGCTTTTGAATGCAAATTTATTACCTTTAGAAAATAAAGCTCAGAAATGTAGTGTTGGGGGATTTAGGCTTGAAGGATGACGTCATCACAATTTCCAAATCAGAACTAACGAAACTAAGGTGTAAATTACTGCGTCATAGAGTTATAGCTGATAGAATCCTGAACTGCTAACCGCAAGCTAATATTCCTCAGTTATGATTGTTGTGGATAATGTCAGTGTTTGTCACATATAGGACAGTGAAAAATAGTAATAAGGATCAGAATCAGATCAAGCTTAACATAGCCAGTACCTGATCCAGTCCTTCTTTCTGTGGGCCTCTAGTGACTGTTACACATCATAGAACACTACCTGCCTGAAAGCAGAGTGCCAGCTGTAAAGTTTGGTGGAGGAGGAATAACAGTCTGGGGCTCTTTCCTATTTCAGCATGACAGTGCTCTCATGAACAAAGTCCATTAATAAATGACTGGCTGAGCTGGTGTGAAAGAACTGAATTAGCCTGTGCAGAACCCCAACCTCGGCTTTCATTGGAACGTTAACTGTGAAACAGACCTTCTGCTGCTGTGGCAGAGTGGAAGTGAATCCTGAAGACATGCTGAAAAAATCTAGAGAAAAGTCTTCCCAGAGGAGTGAACGCTCCGAATTAATGGTTTTAGAGTGAAATGTTCAACAAGCACAAATATGTGTGATATTTGAATGTACCTTTGGCCATGTAATGAATCTTTAGCCTCTCTCTCTCTCTCTCTCTCTCTCTCTCTCTCTCTCTCTCTCTCTCTCTCTCTCTGTTGTACAGACAGTGTGAGGTTGGTGGATGGTGGCAGTCGCTGTGCTGGGAGAGTGGAGGTTCTTCATGATGATCAGTGGGGAACAGTGTGTGATTATAACTGGAATATTAGTGATGCTGCAGTGGTGTGTGGAGAGCTGGGTTGTGGAGAAGCTGTAGACGCACTAAGCACAGCTTACTTTGGACCAGGATCAGGACCAATCTGGATGGATGATGTGGGCTGTAGCGGGTCAGAGTCTACACTGATGAATTGTACATTCCCAGAATGGGGTGAAAATTACTGTGATCATGATGAAGATGCTGGAGTCATTTGTTCAGGTAATCTTCAGTACAGTGATTTTATAAATAATCCCTCAATAAACTATCAATTGAATTTAGGTCACAGTTTTGACTCATCACGTTTTAAAACCTCATGTTTAGGATTTAGTTTTTTTGTGATCAAATATTTATTGTCTTTTATAGAACAATGAGCAGAATTACAGTCCAAGACAATTGGTTATCTAAAAACCCAAAACATGTGCAAAACATACTGGAAGTATAGCGTTTGTAAAGTGTGGTACAGGCCGAAAACTCAACTTTTATCAAACTGACAGTACAGCTCTGTTTTGGTTATTTGGAAACTTATATGATTATAGACAATTTACATTTTGCGCAAATTTTATTAACCTGCCACATTGTACAAAAAAAAGATATTTATGAACACTTTTCTGTCCTTTTCAAACATATGTGTTCTGTGATCTCTATTCACTCATGCAAATATTTTAGGAGGAGTCAGGCTGGTTGGTGGTTCTCACTGCTCTGGGAGAGTGGAGGTGCTTAATGGAGAGATCTGGTCGACAGTGTGTGATGCTGACTTTGACCAGCAGGATGCAGAGGTTGTATGTCGAGAGTTGGGCTGTGGGCTTCCTGTGGAGGTGCTGGGAGCAGCTGCTTTTGGCAGAGGGGAGGGTCAAGTGTGGTCAGAGGAGCTTCAATGTAGAGGGAATGAATCTGAGATTTCCTTCTGTCCGACATCACCTTCACTCAAACACAACTGCTCCCATGATGTGGGACTGGTGTGCGCTGGTAAGAGGGACATTTCCATTTTCTCATTTACTAATTTACCTTTACATACATGTTGCGTTTTATAAGCACAGTATGTTAATTGGCATAATAAACTCTTACATATATGTATCCTTTGTTCTTGCACAAACTCTCACTTTAGTATAATAGCTGTGTTATTCTGGTATGAGAATTACATACCTGTGCATCTCAAAAAGTCAAAACAGGTCTGGTAGCGTAGCAGCACGCTTATCAAGAAGCTGCTGCTTCCACTTTAAAAGCAAGACTTGAGATATGTGGGTAAAAACAGTCTTCATAATCTACTGAGGTCCAGACTTCAGTGTCCTCATCGCTCGTTTTGGCCGTCTACATAAATATCTGTCTCTTCTGCCTTCTGTTATGCAGTCAGTGTGAGGTTGGGAGATGGTGGCAGTCGCTGTGCTGGGAGAGTGGAGGTTCTTCATAGAGGACAGTGGGGAACAGTGTGTGATGATGAGTGGGATATGAGAGATGCTGCAGTGGTGTGTAGAGAGCTGCGCTGTGGAGAGGCTGTAGATGCACTGAGTAAAGCTCACTTTGGTCCAGGATCAGGACCAATCTGGATGAATAATATGAGCTGCAGTGGATCAGAGTCTTCACTGAAGCACTGTAGATCAGCAGGATGGGGAAAACATAGCTGTGGTCATTCTAAAGATGCTGGAGTCATCTGTTTAGGTAGGCTTATCTGAATTTCAATAATCTATTTAATGAGATTAACTTTTCTTGTTGAATTTGCCCACTGGTATTTCTTAAAACATCACAATACAATTTGTAATGCATCTTTTTTGTCTTTACAAACATATATGTTTTGAAAAATAATCAAAGCTTTTGTACTTTTTAACAAAATAATTTTATCTAAGCATCATTATTTCACTTATCAAAAATGGCCTAATTTCTTTAATATTAGGAGTCAGGCTGGTTGGTGGTTCTCACTGCTCTGGGAGAGTGGAGGTGCTTCATGGAGAGACCTGGTCCACAGTGTGTGATAGTAACTTTGACCAGCAGGATGCAGAGGTTGTGTGTCGAGAGCTGGGCTGTGGGCTTCCTGTGGAGGTGCTGGAAGCAGCTGCTTTTGGCAGAGGGGAGGGTCAGGTGTGGTCAGAGGAGCTTCACTGTCGAGGCAATGAATCTGTGATTTCCTTCTGTCCAGCATCATCTTCACTCAAACACAACTGCACTCATGACAGTGATGTGGGACTGGTGTGTGCCGGTAAGAGGTGTATCTTCACTGATTAGTCTTAGATTCTCTTGACACACATGCAGTTTAAGGTATTGTTTCTCTCTGATTCTGTGTATCTCTGTGTAGAAATATTTCTCTCTGTTCTGCCTTCTGTTGTACAGGCAGTGTGAGGTTGGTGGATGGTAGCAGTCGCTGTGCTGGGAGAGTGGAGGTTCTTCATAGAGGTCAGTGGGGAACAGTGTGTGATGATAACTGGGATATGAGTGATGCTGCAGTGGTGTGTAGAGAGCTGCACTGTGGAGACGCTGTAGATGCACTGAGTGATGCTCACTTTGGACCAGGATCAGGACCAATCTGGATGAATGATGTGGACTGTAGTGGATCAGAGGCCACAGTGAAAAACTGTAAATCACCAGGATGGAGTAGAAATGATTGTGTTCATTCTAATGATGCTGGGGTCATTTGTTCAGGTATGTTTTCTAAATTTCAGTATTCGATTAAAGGAGATACAAATTTACCATTCACATTTCTTTTCACAGCTTTTAATTTTGTTAAAATAATTATTACAAGTTCATTAATAATTAATAATTTTGCCTTTTTTGTCTTTCAAACTTGATTATTTGTACTTTTCTCTTCAGAGACATGCATGCTCTCATGGCCAAGTTATAAAATTAATATTTTTGTATCTGGAAAAAAGCTGAACTGTCATTTTCATAAAATCATTATGTTTCAACAACATCATATCAGAAGTCAAGCTACTTGGTGGTTCTCGCTGCTCTGGGAGAGTGGAGGTGCTTCATGGAGAGACCTGGTCCACAGTGTGTGATGCTGACTTTGACCAGCAGGATACAGAGGTTGTGTGTCGAGAGCTGGGCTGTGGGCCTCCTGTAGAGGTGCTGGGAGCAGCTGCTTTTGGCAGAGGGGAGGGTCAGGTTTGGTCAGAGGAGCTTCACTGTAGAGGCAACGAATCTCAGATTCACTTCTGTCCAACATCATCTTCACTCAAACACAACTGTACTCATGACAGTGATGTGGGACTGGTGTGCGCTGGTAAGTACTATATTTGCAGCCTGCAATAAGATTACATCTTTGTGACTGATTTACTGTAACACAATGTTTTCTGACTTACTTTAATATTTACTTTAATTAAAGCTTTTAAAATGTTTACACTGTATATTAAGTATACAATGTATTTTCTTGATGTGCATCATAATTATTTTCAACCTGTAAAGATTAAGAAGTGAAACTAAGCAGTTTGTTCTGATTTCTGAATTATCATTGGTGCAAATAATACTATTTTCTAATTAAGTATTATTGTGATTCCTGCTTCCCAAACATTTCTCCCAGCAATAAAGCTCTTAATTTACTTTTGACTGTGAAATCTCTCTGTCTTGTTGTTATACAGACAGTGTGAGGTTGGTGGATGGTGGCAGTCGCTGTGCTGGGAGAGTGGAGGTTCTTCATAGAGGACAGTGGGGAACAGTGTGTGATGATGAGTGGGATATGAGAGATGCTGCAGTGGTGTGTAGAGAGCTGCGCTGTGGAGAGGCTGTAGATGCACTGAGTAAAGCTCACTTTGGACCAGGATCAGGACAAATCTGGATGAATGAAGTGGACTGTAGGGGATCAGAGTCTACACTGAAGAACTGTAAATCACGGGGATGGGGTAAACATAACTGTAATCATGGTGAAGATGCTGGAGTCATCTGCTCAGGTGAGCTGCAATCAGTCATAAGAGTAATCATAGAAAATGTGAAAGAAATGAAAATATTAGTTGTGAATAACAAAGTAGCATGTTTCAAAATAATCAGTTAAAAATTCTTGACTAGTTTCTTGACTATTCTCCAGACCAATAGCAGGACACTGCCCAACACTCCCTTCAACACACAGAGCTCATTTGTTTTTGACTGCAGCTTCTGGCCAGTTATTTTGAGTGAAAATCAGGCAGGAAAACTGACAGTATGTAGAAAAGACCCCAGCTACCTATTCTGAGTGTGTGTGCTTGTATTTTGTAAGCCTCTTGCTTCATATGAACAAAATATCATCAGGAAAACTGCTTTTATACATCAATCAGTCAGTTTCTACTAGTTAGACCATCAGGACAACTATATCACTGATTCCATCTAAATGTTTTAGTCAAATATCCTCTATCAGCTACTAGCTGCTACTTTTTCTTGTACTGTGCACAGTGTTAATGTCCTTCCAATTCCACAGGTCACAGAAAGTCCAGACTTACTGATGGTATCCATCTGTGTTCTGGGAGAGTGGAGGTGCTTAATGTGAAGACCTGGTCCACAGTGTGTGATGCTGACTTTGACCAGCAGGATGCAGAGGTTGTGTGTCGAGAGCTGGGCTGTGGACTTCCTGTGGAGGTGCTGGAAGCAGCTGCTTTTGGCAGAGGGGAGGGACAGGTGTGGTCAGAGGAGTTTCAGTGTAGAGGCAACGAATCTCAGATTTACTTCTGTCCGACATCACCTTCACATAACTGCACTCATGACAACGATGTGGGCCTGGTGTGTGCTGGTAAAGCATTCATTTTTAATTGAGTTCTACTCAAATGAGATTCAAATTAGTAAGCCTTCCCCCTGCTTGTTACAATATGGCACTAAACTGCTCTTATTCATGTTAATTCCTGTAATGTGATGTTCATTCAGGTCACACTCAGGCTCAACTGGCAAACGGCTCTGACTCCTGTTCTGGTCGAGTGGAGCTCCAGTACCTCAGTGAGTGGGGCACAGTGTGTGATGTAAGCTGGGATATGAGAGCTGCAAGTGTCCTCTGTGGTCAGCTGAAGTGTGGGAGTGCTGTGACTGTGTTGGGGTCAGACTGGTTTGGGGAGGGGATTGGCCAGATCTGGGCTGATGTGTTTGATTGTCAGGGGAACGAAACACACCTGTCAAAATGTCCCGTTTCATCATGGGGTCGAACTGCATGCTCTCATAAACAGGATGCTGGAGTCATCTGCAGTGGTGAGCACTTAGAATTGTGTAGTCCATCTCAGAAATGCCTATTAATGTGTAAGGCACCCTTAGTCAAGGAAAGTTTTATGTTAAGTGATATTTTTTCCTCTTCAGGTTCCTCTCTGGCATTTCATGAAGGGCGAGTGCGGTTGTCTGGAGGGATGGAGTGTGAGGGGGAGGTGGAGGTGTACTTCAGGCAGGACTGGAGGAGAGTTCTGCTGGACTCCTGGAGTGAGTCTGAGGCCTTTGTGGTCTGCAGACAGCTGGGCTGTGGATCTGTGTTCAGCTTTTCCAGCTCCTCTCCATCCAATCCTGAACACAGACACATGTGTGTGACGGGTTTCAGTTGTTCTGGGAGTGAAGCTCATCTGGGGAACTGCAGCAGTGCAGAAACAGTCAACTGCAGCTCCAGAGAACAACTCTCAATCACCTGCTCTGGTAAAAATGACAGCAGCTAAATATCAAAACTGGCTAGGTTCATTTCACAGTCAAATGATGAACTCTCTTCTTTATGTAGAGGACCAAGGAATGAGCCACAGCTGTAATGTGTGTGTGTGTGTGTGTGTGTGTGTGTAGGTAAGTTTAATTCAGCTCACAGCTCCATCAGGCTGGTTGGTTCTGGGGGAGACTGTGCAGGAAGGCTGGAGGTTTTCCACAGTGGCTCATGGGGGACAGTATGTGATGACTTGTGGGATATTGAGGATGCACAGGTGGTGTGCAGACAGCTGCAGTGTGGAGTGGCTCTCAGTGCTCTGGTACCAGCCCAGTTTGGACCAGGAACTGGACCCATATGGCTGAATGTGGTGGAGTGTAAGGGGAATGAGACGTCCCTGTGGAACTGCAGATTTCAGCAGTGTGAAGAGGATGAATGTGGACACGAGGAGGATGTAGGAGTCGTGTGCTCAGGTATGATGATTTTAAAGGAATGGTTCACTAAAAAATCAAATTAACACAGTTTTCCTCTTAATAGAATGTAGTCAGTCAGCCTAGACATGTTTGCACTAAGAATCTCTTTACAAAAGAACGACACTTTGTTATACCATAAACGTGTTTATTTTTAAAAATAACTACACATAATGTCAGCAGTGAAGTTGCAAATGCACTAAAGCAAGTTTTTTTTTAATTGAACAAAAGAATAAATAAAAATTCATTCATGTTCAGTTTGAATTTTTGTTTCTGTTGACTCTCAAATTGTCTGTGCATGGGCCTGACTACATTAGTCTAATAACTCCAGTGCAAAGCTTAGGAAGCAAACTTAAGGCACTGTACTATAATCCTCATGATGATACTGTTGCAGACAAAAATAGCAGACACACTTAATAGTGGACAAAATTATACTGAAGGTTTTTTTTTTCCCCTTGTGTGGTTCTATGTTTTGTCAAAATAGAAAGCACATGCAGAATGTTGTCATTTTCTTGCATTGTAAATCACCTGAAAATCTTTAAGGTATAATCTGATGTGCAGCATAACTGAATTCACACAGTCTGACATGGAGATTAGCTAAGATATTATTTGCAGCATCTCATGCAGTGTGAAATGAAGTAGACGTATAAGACCACTGTAATCACACAGTGTAAAGCCAGCTGTAGACATCAGATATATCTAGGCTGATTAACTATCTTTGGGGTGAAACTGTCTAGATTCAAATTTGCATGGAACCATGCCTTTAAGGAAGTTAATGTCTGTACAAGCAGAGGAGTTTCATTATCTTTTTGAGGGGATGTTAAATATTTAATTTTTAATTGTATGAACTTCCTAAAACATGCTCATTCAAAAGCAAAGTTTAGTATAAGTTATTTTCCCACCAGAGTTTAAAGAGATCAGACTCACTGAGGGCTGTGAGGGGAATCTGGAAGTGCTCTACAATGGAACCTGGGGTAATGTGTGTTTAAATGGGATGGATGAAGAAACAGTGAGTTTAATCTGTCAAGAGCTGAACTGTGGAAGATCTGGCAGTGAGTCTTGGGCTAAAGCAAGAGTGGAATCGACTCCCAACTGGCTAGACGATCTGAAATGTAGGAGACATGAATCCACTCTGTGGCAATGTCCATCTTCACCCTGGAGACAGAACAACTGTGATAAAGACAACGAGGTGGCTTGGATTACCTGCTCAGGTAGGCAGTTATGTTCATATAAGTAGAGTGTGTATACATTTTTGTGCTGACAATAAATCACACAAACTGGCTTAAATAGGTAAATAAAATATACATATAGAAATGTAAAATAAATGATGTAATATATAGAAATATAGAAAAACAACTTTATATGTTCAGCACTTAATGAGGTATATTTCTGTATTCATAGAAGGTGAAAATGAACGTGTATTACGAAGCCATCTGAAATGCTCCTCATCTCCCCATCACAGACAGTGCTCAAGTAAGAACTCTTGCAAATAAATAAGGTCAATATTTTATTATGTAATGTGTTAATCACAAGTGTTAGAAAAGTAGCACCTTAATAGAACTATTACTGTTAATGTTCTAAAAGTGAAAACCTATATTACACTTAATAGCTGTATTGTTATTAGTTCTGTAACTATCCCAGTTGATCAGCATTGCTGTATCTCCTCATGTGTGATGTAGATCACCTGCCTCTCAGGCTGAGGGGAGGAAATGGAATCTGCTCTGGGAGGCTGGAGGTGTATCGTAACGCTGAGTGGGGGTCCGTCTGTGATGGTCTGTGGGACATCATGGATGCTCAGGTTGTCTGCAGGCAGCTGGGCTGTGGACCAGCGCTGAGTGCTGATGGGAGTGCTGTCTTTGGTGCTGGTGAAGGGCCTATCTGGCTGAACAGAGTGAAGTGTAGAGGGAATGAGATTCACCTGTGGGACTGTCCTCATTCCCTGAAGAACCACACTGACTGCTCCCACAGACAGGACGCTGGAGTCACCTGTGCAGGTCAGATGATCCTGCTGGACTTCTGACTCCATTTAAAAATATTTTATCACAGTGTTAAAATCTGGAAGGTTTCAGTAAATGGTGCATTAATGGACTTTTGTTAATATAATCTAATGCTAATTTGCCATATTCAGTGCTTAAAGTGTTCTACATATCAGAATCAGAACTGCTGTTTCTGTATTTACAGGCATTTCTACTACTCCACTTATAACAGCCACCACCTCCAACATCACAGGTATTTTTTATGTCTCTTAGACAGATAAAGACAGATTTTGCTACATGTTTCTGAATAGATTGTTCAGAGCTCTGCACAGTTTCTGTTCTGTATTTTTATTTTTAGTTGGTCAGACAGTGAAGACAACAAACACTCTTCTACAAGCTCTTCCAATTGCTGCTGTTCCATCCATCTATCCAGTGTCTCTCCTGGTTCTGGGAGCAGTGCTCTTCTGGCCTTAGTGCTTCTGGTTGTGCTGTTTTACCAGAACAGAGTGCTCAGGAGAGGTAGAGAGATTCAGAGATCATCTACAATCCATTCTCTCAACATCATTAGTCCTTCAGTCTGTCATCAGTCTTCTCTTCTACTGAACTGGCTCCATGTTTCTCGTTGTCTCCTTCACAGGGCTTTCTAAGAGGATGGAGAACATAGTCTATGAAGGCCTTAGAAGAGGGCTTGAGGGAGTCTATGAAGGCTTGAGTAGGGGCACTGAGAGAGTCTATGAGGAGATTTACTGCAGATTCAATACTGCAAGAGCCACTCAAAGGGGTGAGTTCTACACAAGACTTATTGTGGTGTATTTATACTTATAATAATGTAAGATTAATTGCATTCATTTGATCAATGACAATGTGCATTCTTTATCTGTGGGCCTAGCTAAGGAGCTAGCTAACTAATGGGTGTCCTTTCTAGTAGAGAAAATGGGATGCAGTCCTGTATAGGGCACTCTTACAGGTAAGTAAACATGAAGAAGTGCCTAATTAGGTGCTCATCCAATAGAGAAGGGACCCTCCAGTGGATAAAATGTGATGCAGAGCTGTAAAGGTTGTCCCTACATGTATGATAAAGTGTGGGGAGTTTCCTAATGGATGCCCCTCCAGTGGAGAAAATGTAATGTGGTGCCATACAGTGGCCCTCACAATGGCGTTCCCTACAGGTGCCTTTCTAATGAAAAAACTCAAGAAGTGCTCTCTTAGATGCTCTTCCAAGTGAGAAAACACAATTAAGAGCCCTTCCAATGGAGAGAAAAAATCCAAGTGAATAAAATCTCTAAAGTCTTTCCTAAAATGTGCTCTCTAGGGCTAGCTCTCCCAAAGTGGGTGCAGTGATGACTGTCTAAGGGTGCCGCAAATACTTTAATAAGATTTTGAATTTACTTCTCAAACACTGCTTACATTCAAAACACAAATCTATGCTAATAAGTCTTTTCTGAATTTTTGCAAAGGGTCATTAAGTTAGGCTAATATCTAGCTAGCATTTTGATGTAATCTCATCTGCACTGTCCATGTTCTCAGTGTATCCTCTTAGGTTACATTAGATTATGTTAGGTTAACTGTATTTGATAGTAAAAGACAAAGTATATTGTTGCCAACATTGACACAACAAAGGTTAAAATACTCATTGCCATTGTTAAAGACATACATCTATTCCATCCATATAAGTTTTGAGTTTTAGCCACACCCACTCTAGAATGTTCAGATGTCAGAGGGGCTTATTACACTATGAGCTGTAACCCTGACTTACTACTACAGTGTGTGAGGGAAGTAATACAGCAAGCTTCCTTTGATGTTGTAAAGACTCAGTTTTCCAATGATGTGTTACTAAATACTAATGTATGTTCACTGCAAGTGGCTTTACAGATAGTCGTATCACATTTTTTAGGCTAAATGCCTAGCTGTGGAGCCACATTTACATTGTGGACTCAATTAAGAAATAAACAAGTGTAAAAATCCTTCCCTAAGGGAATTATTTTAGAGTCATTTGCAGAAAATGCCTAAAAGACTTAGGTTTGGTGTGAACTGCTTTTTCAGTTAAGATTGACTGCTCCTGACCACTAAGCTCAAATCATAGCTTTCTCATTAAAATTATACTATCACTATCATACTTATCTCTGTGTTTTACTTCAGACATATGTGTAAAATAAACATTTTAAAGGTTTAGAGTTCGCTGTGTAATCTGGATCGCCTAATAACAATGTTAATCTTAATCAAGGATGAAGATTATTCCATCATACATCATATATCACTTTTTTCCATCTATAGAAAAGCTCCCTGATGCTGCTTTTAGGCTTGTCTCGCCATGGCCACCTATGTACCAGCACACAGTCATCGGCTAATTCTGTAGCTTTTAAAGCAGTTACTGTCATATGCTCATTTAGGTGAACCTCTAACTGCTGTGGGACACTGTTTTTAAATTGTTCAGGGTGTATCAGCTGCTTCATAGTATCAGCTGCTTCAGAGCCTCTTCAGATACACTTAGTACAGCCCTTTTGACCACCTCATTATCACTGCTGTCCCCTGTGGTGACTGCAGGAAAAGCTTATTGGTCTTTTCCTGTCAGTGTCTGTGAATGGGAGTTAGCCACTCATTATTTGGCCAGTGCCTCTCCAGAACAGTGCATACAAATGTAAAAAACATTTTTGAGGGATGAGCAGACATGTTGACATCGTAGCCTGAGCTTAGAGCCATCCTGACTTCCTGAGTAGAACTTCCAATTAAGTAGCATAAGTTAGCTTTGACAGCTACCTACAATAAAGAAATAAGTTTTAAAACAATTGTTAGCTAGCTAATTAAAACAAATGACCAAATACAGCAGTCATTGTTAGCTAGCTATCTAAGTATGTACACAAAATGACCTAATACAACAGCTACATGAGCTAGCTAGCTGTTTCCATCCACACAATGACCTAATACAGCAGCTACGTAGCTATGTATGTCCACAAAATGACTTAATACAATAGGTACCGATAGCTAGCTAATATTAGCCTCCACTCCAGGTCATGTCAGCTACATATCAACACACGTTTCAGCTAATGTTATCACACACACCATTCAGTTACCTTTTTTTTTTTTTTAATACAAAAATGTTCTTTTCCACCAGCGTATAAATAAAGATTTGGCACTCACCCAGTATAAAACACTGAGGCTGGTCTCTGGCTGATATTCTTCAGTATATGCAATGTGCACAATTACATTTAATAAAACTGAAAAAGAATGAAGTAAAACTGCAGTACTGTTGTTCTGCTAAAACCTATGAGTAGCTGAAAAGGTAATTGAAATAAAATGCTGTACAGCTGTCCTGTATACATCCATTTTTTTCAGCAAGGCCCATTTGTCAAACACAAGGCCCACAGGCCAGATCCTGTCTGCAATAAAATTCTTTCCAGCCTGCAGATGTATTGTAATTTTCTCTTAATATTTGCCTGTTTCACATTGCGCTGCACAACAGTCCCCAGCATGCACTGCAATGTTATGTGCATTCCGACTCTCCTACCCCAATAACAATATATGGGACAGCGGTTACACCTCAGTTCTACACAATTCTACACAGTTCCTCACCAGTCATATCACCAAACACCCTAACTGCATTTCAGCTGCACTTTAATCAACATAAACATTTAATGTTTGCTCAGCAGCTCAGAAATTGAGCCCAAGTCTTAATGAACTCGCAGCAAAGAAAAGATGCCAGGTGTCTAGTTCAAGCAGATAGATAGGTTTAAAAGACTGAGCTCCTGGGGACATTTAAGCTTTGAATATTTCAAATATTCATGAAATATTTCAAGGTTTACCACAAGTGCCTATATTTTACTGTTGAAGTTTTAGCATATTTTGAATAAATGATGGCCAGTGGTGCTGTAGCACAACATTAATTAAAAATGAAATAAAAACATTTTCATTGAAAGATTTTCTAATATGGCTGTTTTACTCATTGAGTTTAACACCCCTGCCCTGAGGTCTTAGTGTCATGCAACATGACAGAGTTCTGCTCTCCTCTAACAGGAAGTCTCCTCTCTGAAGCACAGCATTCAGGATATGAGGATGTAGATGAGGAGGTCCTCTCAGGTAAGAGCATGTGTACCAGACTACAATTTAGAAGTTAAAGTATCCATTATGAATCCATGTTTCTTCAGCTACTGTAACACTAACAGAGAAATGTAGAATGATCAAACAAAAATCTGGGGCTGTAAAAGCTTGCAATGTGAACATAGCCCTTATCTTAATTGGTGAGCAACCTTGGTGATGCTTTACGAAGAAAGAGGAAGAAGAGGAGAAAATGGTCAGACACTCATTCAAATTACAAATACAGTTAGTTATACTTTTGGCCACATTGTCTGATTGCCCCTAAATATATTAATTGAGCCTAAGAGCTGGCGTGGGCTTTAAATGGCTGTGATGAATTTCGGATTGAAAAGCATTGGCAGTAAAATTACACAGGCGCACAAATCCCCACAAAATCAGATGGAATTTTTACTACATTTTGTAGTGCTTTCACTGTGCTACACATGTTGGCTAAAAAGAGGTAAATGCCAGAGTTCTGCGCTCCTCTAACAGGAAGTATCCTATCTGAAGAACAGCATTCAGGATATGAGGATGTGGATGAGGAGCTTCTTTCAGGTAAGAAGACCTAAAACTGTTCCACTGACAAATATTACAGTCGCCATTAGAAATTTAAAAATTCAACTCTATCCAGGTTGCTTTATATGATTTTTTTTGTAAATTTTGCTGCTCTTTACTGTTTTAGATTCTCTTTAACTGTTCTCAACTTCTCCTTAATACTGACTCTCTAGATGAGATGTTTGTCAGAAATTATTTCTTGCATAATCTTAATGGAGTCACACACTGAAGACCGAATTCTAGAAATGTTATTATTACATTAAAACCCCTCTGAATGAGTATTTTATTTTTAAATGTAATTAAAAGTGACAAGTTATGCTCTTTTTACAGCAAAGTCTCTGCCTGGAGTGAAATCAGAATATTATGATGATGTCACCACCAGAGGTCTGATAAGTGGGTTCCTTTGTTAATTAAATCCCATGATTTTAACTTTATATTAAACCAACAATGTGAAAATATGACTGCACTGTTTGTAAAGTCAGTCTGCTTTTATTTGATTTAGGTGAAGCAGAAAAAGACGACATAGCAGATAACTATGATGATGTCATCACCACTAGACAGATCTCTGAGTGTCTCATAGGTGGGTTTCTGTCCTGGGCTTTTAGTTTAGAACAAAGTAGAAATTAAAAAGAAATTAAAAACCATACCAATATAACCAAATAATAAATGCTATAAAAGCATCATTAATAAAAAATGTGACAGTACAGATCTGAATCATATACATGTTTAAAATAAATCTTCAGTTCACGTACAATTTAAAATCATTCAGTCATTCATTCATTCATCTTCCTACACCGCTTGATCTAGCTAGATCTGCCGTAGCAGTAGGAAAAGCAAAGAATCCCAGACAACCCTGTCCCGTGCAACCTCCTCAAGTTAATTCTGGGGGACCCCAAGCCACTCCTAGGCCAACTATATAGTCCCTCCAGCGGGTCCTAAGATGACCTTGGGGTCTTGTCCCAGTCAGGCCTGACTGGTAAACCTCAAACTGGAGGCAACCAGGAGGCATCCTAATCAGATGCCCAAACCACCTCAACTGGCTTCTCACAACATGGAGGAGTAGCGGCTCTACTTTGAGCTCCTTGTGGATGACTGTGCTGCTGACCATATCATGTAGAGTGTAGCCCACTACCCTGTGAAGAAAGCTCATTTCCACCGCTTATATCCACAATCTCACTCTTTCAGTCATTACCAAAAGCTCATGACCATCAGTGAGGGTGGGGATGTAGACCGACCGGTAAACAGAGAGCTTTGCCTTATGGCTCAGCTCCGCCCACTGGGACAAACTTCATCTGCACGCTAGCCAGCCAGGGGTTTGTGAATATCCTCACACCTGCCTGGTGCCTTTCACCCTATGCAGCTTCTAGGTAGGAGAGGTACCTACCCTATCAAGGTGTTTGGTTCCAGAGCTGACACTGTGAATGGAGGCGAGCACAACTACATCTAGTTAGTACCTCTCAGCCTTCCGCACCAGTGAGATAACATCCCACGTGCCAAGAGCCAATTTCCACCGCAGGGGTCCATGCCACCAAGGACCTTCTTGCAATCTCCCACTGCCTATAAGGCACTGCACCTGTCCTCTATGCTAAACCTTGCGGGTGGTGGGCCCACATGGTCCCCCTATGTTGCCTGTTTGGGCTGAGCCTGGCTGGGTCACCTGTGTTGCCCGGCCACCTGGCACTCGTAAAGGAACGCTACCCCTAGGCCTGGTTCAAGGGGTAGGTCTCAGTAACCCTCTCCTGGGCAGGGTATATGATAAATTGCCTTCTTTGATCATAAGGGATTTTGAATCATGTTAGTCTGGATCTTCACTCCAGACCTATTTGCCTTGGGAGACCCTAACAGGAGCATACTGCTCCAGATTACCACACAAGCCCTTCCTAAATCGGACTATGACCAACCCTAGTTAAAAGTTATTAGTGCTAAAGCTACTGCTAGGCTCAATGTCGATATATACAAAGATAATGTTTCAAACAGCTGATGAATACCTACAGTCATTCAAAATGTAGCTTTGATCATCTAAATATCTCTGTTTTGTTGTAGAGAACGTAGCAGATAATTATGATGATGTCATCACTGATGATCAGAGCTCAGCTGTTGTAACAGGTTTGACTTGTAGTGTAACAATACTGTAATCTCAAACATGAACACAGTCACTGATGATACTGATGCTGATTTAATGACATTTATCTCTACATTTTCACAGAAGACATGACAGATAACTATGATGATGCTGTTACCGCTGGACCAAACTCCAACATTATGACAGGTACGTTTTACCTTAATTAATACATAATTTCAATGTTAAAAATAATTTAAACAAACTTCAATACAGTAAAATGTCTGGTTTGTTGCTTATTGTTAAAATGTATTTTCCCATGTTGGTGAAGAGGATGTTTATGCTGCTACATTCCAGATGAACAGTGTGAAAGGTAGAGTAATTGATTCAAGTGCACAGGAAGTCTAGTGATAAATGAGTTTTGTTATCAATGATAAATAAACAATGTCCTCTTTATTTTGCTGTAGAACCTTTTTTATAAAACCTGCAGTCTTTATTCATTAATAAAAGAAGTGCAGCTACATTTCTTTTAGTAGAGACAAGAAACAGTTGATTAGTGCCACACTGCTCTCTAGACAGGACTGGAAGTAATCAGTCCTCTCTACATCTGTCTAACTGTGTTCTAAGAATGATGGGACAGTGCAGATGCTCAAAACTAAAACAGAGTTGGTTGTTTTTGATGGTTGTTTCTTGTATTTAAGGGCACTGTGTAGATCTGTGGAACTGTAGGTTCTGGAGGGTTGGTGTCCAGACTAAACATAGTAATTAAAGGACGAGTGAAATCAGGTGTGTTTGGACACCGGCCCCCCAAGGCCAGAGTTAAGAGTCCTGCACTAAGGACCACCATGGTGGGGAATCAGACTGAAGTGAACTCATTCAGTATTCACTGGCAGTGCTGTAGCTTCTTCTACACATGGATCATCTTAGCATTATGGTGGAGTTTTAATAAATATAGGAAGAAAAACTATTGGAAAAAAATACTGGAAGAAAAAAATAGAAGATAAAAGAAAAAAGTTAGTGAACAACTTGTTACATAATGCTCTATTTTCTTTTTTCTTTTTGGAAGTTTTAGGAAATGATGTATATATTCAAAAGAGTTAAATATATTGATTATTTATTTTTCAGATTATCATGACTTAGAGGAGGAGCCTCAGACAGAGATGAATCATGTGATTAAGAGAAGTGGTGGACACACCCAGAGTCCTTCCCCAGGAAATTACACTCAGACCTCTTCAAATGCAAGAAATGACTTTGTTTTAGATCAGAATTCAATATATTTTATTGAGCCTAAATACTGCTAATTATAGCTTTACATATCAAAAAAGAAAAGAGGAATTAAACACCTACATTTTTATTCAACCTTTTAACTTCATGAAAAGCATTTTGTACCAAAAAAAATATTATCTATTATAATTTGTATGAGCTGCTAATTTAACCCACTGATTGTGTTAAACAGTTTCTATTATCAGTGTTGACATTCAGAATCAGGCAGCACCTTATAACTGTTTACAGAGCAATTCTAGATCATAGTTACTCACCTAATTCTGCGTTATACAGTAAGAAAAGTGGTCTGGTCTTTCTCTCTCATGCTATTTGCAAGCCTGTAATTATTTTGAGAATTTTGTGATCATTTGAGATTATATCCACACAGGCATAATAAATTCTGCATCTTGAGTTTCTTATGATTTAACTGATTAAACTGGGGTCTAAATGTTTTGCTGTGACAACACAAATTTATTTTACCCTAGAAAGTAATTTGTTGTGCATTGTAAAAAAAACTTGTTCACTTAATTAGCATTTAAAGTCAAGCTAATATTTTAATCAGCATTTACACAAACACACACAAAAAAAGAAACGGAAAAAAAGAATCAAATTGCAGAAAGGGACAACTCAATAATATCTTCCAGGTTTACCAAACACTAGAGGGCACTCCTGAGTGAGTTCAAAATGAATGGGCTCCTTTAGAGTTGTTGTGCAAAATTGTAGTTTGTAAATCCATAAATCATTTTTATAGAAAAATCCACTAATTTTCTCAACACAGAACAGCAAACAATGTTTCATTACTGTTTTATGTTGAGCACCTCTGAACTCTGAACACTTTATAACAGTGTTTGAGTGTTTTCTAGTGTTTGAAGTCCTGTTTTTGGTATAATTTGAGAAATAGGAAGTGTCCAGACTCCCCTTAATCTGTCTCTGTACACACATAGACTAGTGATAGTACAGTTTGTAATGTAGCTTTGTGAGGGACCCATGTGCAGATTTACTAAGGTAAAAAGGTCATACCAGTGAATTAGTCTGACGGGCCTGGAAGACAATCCAAAATGGACAAAAAACAAAAGCAGATTACAAAAAGTCAGGCAGAAGCTCAAAACACCAGAGGGGCAAACAAAACAAATGCTCAGTAGTCAGACTCCAAAGGACTGGGAATACCTCACACAGGTTAGCTGAGTTTGGGGAGTATTTAAGGTGAGACTAATTAGGGAGGTAATGAGGTGCAGGTGGCTTAAACCTGGGAGCAGGACTGGTTCTCGGGAGAGAGAGACCTCTGGTGGCATAGGGAATTACTGACACGTGCTGGCCTTCACCCTCCTAGTGCAGGCGGTAAGGTGTCAGGCATGACCTGGTACCCTCAAAACATAATTAGAGCATATTTCATTACAATTGTATTTTTTAAGTTACAGTGACTCCACAGACCTTGTATTGACTCCAAGCTTTTTATTTTATTTTTCTATTTTAATATATTAGGTCATGAAAATGTAAAAATGTCAGAAGTCCATTTGGGAAAGTAAATTTTACGACTTTTAAAACTAAAGGCACACCTGGACCTTAACACGCTTGTTGTACCTTTGAAGGTACATTTATACTGTTTGTACCCTGATGAACATAAATGTACCTGTACAGCATCTGTTTTTGACAGTATATACAGGATGCTGTTCTTTGTGTGGATGTGCTGTGGAAAGTAAACACAGCGTCTAACAGAGTGCATTTCATATGTGTGTGATCAAGTATTAATATAAACTGGACAACTGAAAAGTATCTGCAGCTGAAAAACTCCTTACTTATGATCTTTCAAAGGATGGTGTTTTATGCTTTTGTGTTTGAATGTTGTTTCACTACTTAAATTGTTTTTACATCATCATTTTTACAGAATTTCTGTCTTTCAGATGAACAACAGTGTCAGATAATTTCATCACTTACAGATTCTTCTTTCTTGATTGTGTGATTAAAAAAAATAAAAATAAACAATAATAAATTTAACACTTTAATAATATCAGCTTTTGTTATAATGTAAACATTACATGTTTGTGGACTCACTAGCTGGCTTGATATTTTGTGAATTGAAAACTGACTGATGTGTGAAACTGTGAGCAACTCATGGAGGATTTAGTGGGTTTAGTGTGAATTCACTTGTTACATTAAAAATTATAAACAGAACATCAGACATTCTGGTGGACAAGAACAGCATCGTTTTGCACTCTGACCAAATGTTTTTACAACTTCCCCAAAAATCCTGCTTTAAAAAAAATCCTGTCATAATCAAGGGCAGCTCTCCAAGGTGCTGACAGAAGCTGTGAAAATTCAGCACCTCGTGTTGTGGACAGCCGGTGACCGCATGAACTCTCTCTCTCTCTCTCTCTCTCTCCCTCCCTCCCTAGGAGACTGAACCGAATTCTCTCCGTGGTCTCCCTCTCTCAGAGCGCCCCACAGAGGTCAAACTGAATAGAAACTATACTGAGTGTCTTAAGTCACAAAGCTGATAGTTCCTGTATTTAAACCTCAGTCATATAAAAAAAACGTTTTACTCGAACTACGTCATCTGTTCAGGTCATGTCTTTGTCTCAGTGTCCACCAACTACAACACGTGCAGCAAATCAGTGTCTTTGCTTTTACAAATTGCTGTACACGAAGCGTCATAGAGGAGCTGCATTTAGACAGATCTGAATCGAATCAATCTGAAATCTTAAATCTGAAATAATTAAAATTATGAATGAATGAATTAATTTGTTTCCTGATTTATTTGTTTTCTAGGTTCAGTTTTAAAGGTCTGTAGTTTATTAGGAGGTTGAGGGTCAGTAATGTAAAATGAGAACTGGACAAATAAAAATACTTAATGTATCATAATAGAATTGGTTCTTTATAGAACCAGAAAGGTTGTTTTTCACTTGTAACAATAACATGAATTAATTAATTAAACGGTTTATTTATTGTGTAACACTAAGTAACGTAGAGTTTTTTGTGTAGTTAATTGGTCTTAAATCTAGATTAAATCTAAATTAAAGGTTTATTTAACAACAGACATTTACACTGAACTACATTTCAGTTCTGTTATGATTTTATTGAGAGCTTTTAGATTTTTATTTCTTCAGCTGTGAACAATTCAGTATCAGCCAGAGATGCGTTTTAAATGTATTTTAAAATAGACGCAGTATTTGTATGAGATCAATATTAACATATTATTATTATTATTATTATTATTATTATTAAAAGGCTTTATAATAATAATAATATTAATAATAATAATAATAATAATAAGAAGAAGAAGAAGAATAACAATAATAATAATAATACTAATTATAGCTGCTCTTCTTTTTTAAACAATAATGTACAACAATAATTGGATTATATCATTTTTCTAGAGTATATTATATATAAAAAACATAGATAAATATTTTCCGAAAAAATGTAAGCATCATAAATGTAACTGCCCTTCAAAGACAGTAATAATAGTAAAAACAAAGATCAATATTTTACTATATATTTAGATAAGTATGTTTCTCTGTATTTCTTTAATCTGTTGGAAGATGACCACGAGTTTGAGTATTATTATTATTATTATTATTATTATTATTAATAATAATAATAATAATAATAATTCGAATTCATAAACTTCGCAAGGAGACAACTATGCTGAAAATAACTATTACGTCACGATGCCCAGTCTCTTCGTTATATAATTTCTTTTGATGTGATTAATTAGCCAACTGTTCTAAAGAGCTCGCGCAAGCGGTAGATTTTGTTTAGGCTGATGATGTTACTGTGTGAGTAAGAGAGTTAACAGAGAGCACTGAGCATGTAGACTGTTTGTGAAGTATAGAGCTCAGACTGCATCACTGTTTATGTGGGATTTAATCTGTAATGAACTAAAACAGTAACAGCCCAACATCAACTACACAAGAAGTGATAAGTGAATGAAATTGTGAGCTAGCTAA